CTGGAATGTCACTACCCTCCTGAAATACGCCTGCTTCTTCTCTGAGGGCTGTTTGCAGATTGTCATAGTAGTACCAAATTATTATTAAATTTGATATTGAGATAGTGAGCTCAACTGGAAAATGCTCTCTGAAGCACATGGGTCCCAACATGCCTGAGCATGCTGCTGGGTTCCTGGGCCGCCGGGCATGCAGGAGGGGTGCGAAAGGATGGGGAGGGCAAGATATTTACAGCCGCTCCCGAGCACTCGTTGTAGCCAGTCACTTAAGTGAATGTTTAGAGCAAAATCTGAAAACAAGGAACAAGGGATAATCTCTGCCTGGGTTAGAGCCATAGCAGAGCAAGGAAATAGTGCTGGGGGGGATTTTGTGAGGCTGTCTAGGTCCCCGTCTTACCTCAGCCTTAGATCAGCTGTCCTTGCTGTACTGCCGGAAGATGTTTAGAGGCCTGCAGCGATGGAGAGAGATTCCACAGTCTCTCTAAGTGACATACAGCCCTTACTTAACTGGTTTGGCAAGCAGGAAGTTTCCTCATAGCTAGCCTGACTGGTACACATGGGAAGCAGGTTCCTCCTTTCCTCTTCATGTAGGTGAAAACCTCTGCCTGCCCTCTCGCTTCTCTTAAGGCCAGAGAACTGCTGTCTCATCTACTTTTCCTTGTGGCTTGGATTTTCAGAATGCTTTACCTTTTTTGTCTCCTTTTGATGTTTTTGAGTTGGTTCTCAACTATCCTGGAGTATAGACTTAAAATCTGAGCAGATTATTCCAGTTTTAATAATAATAGTTGGATAGATTAAAATTTTTTATCTTATTTATGATACCTCTATTTATGCATTCCTAAAAAAAAAGATGCAGCCTAATGCAGCCTTGCACCACTCATGATCCATAATCTCTTTCCTGAAGAACTGCCTTTTTATTCTGATACACACTTGTGTAGCTCATTATTCCTTTGTACATGTAAAAGCTTCTGTTTCTCCTTAATCGGTGGCATTTCAGTTTCTCCAGTCTGCCAGGATCCTTCTGAATCGCAATGCTGTGCTCCAGCATAGTTGGAGCCTCTTCCTGTAGATGCGGTCTCCAAATGTAAGTGTACTCTGTTCAGTCATCGAAGACGTTGATGAAAGTACTGAAGAGATACTTCTGGGTCCAGGGCAAGTCTCAGTGAAATCCTTGCTCAGCTTGGGAGTACTAATATTTCCATATAATTTTGCACTCATTTTATATACATGTTTAGAATGTATTTTTTGGTTAAGAGCACGTTATATGAAATCCCGTGGCACTCAGTCTTTCTACCCTATCCACCCAGCCTGTTATCATCTGACAGAAGCAGACTTGATTGACCTGGTATTATGTGTTCTGACAAACCCATCCTGTTACTTTCATATCTTTACTTTCTAGATTCATGCAAGTGGTTGGATTACATGTTGAAGTCGTCTTCTTTGGTTGGGGTTTTTCAAGTAGAAATTGAGCCAACTAGTTTGTAGAGCTCTTTCCTTACACCTTTTGAGAGAGATGCAATCCTTTTTTCTGGAACCTCACTCATTCTCTGTTGATCCTTGGAGATAATCAGTAGCAGCTCGAACATTGCTTGAACCCTAAGAGAGCTTCATCAGGTCCGGTCTATCCAAAAATCTCTGACTCCAAATTATTTTCCAGTCTATTTCTTCATTTTTCTAGTCTAAGCTCTTAGACTTTTGTCAGTGGTGCTAGTAGTGAAATCACATCTTCAATTGAAGATCAATTCTTAACTTGAAGACTGAGGTTATAAAAGGCATCAAGGATACTAGCATCTCAGCATCACCAGTCATTAGGTGATGATTGAATAGATTACCCAGCTGTGGAACAACAGACCATTTTTTTCCTTGATCTTCTAACTGTGCATCTTTCCAACATCCTTGCTATCTTTTCAGTCCAATTTTCTAACATTTTGGGAACTTTTCTTTCTGGCTTTGTCCCTACATAGCCCATACATTTACTGATAATTTAGTAATATGACCCTAGTTACTGTTTTCTTACAGGATCTTACAATTAAGTCAAGTTAGTCTTTATTTCACTTCCTCTCTTTCCTCTATTTAGATCAAATTCTACAGCTTTACCTTCAGCAGTGGATCTTGTACAAACTTTAAGTCATCCCGAACGCGCAGAAGTCCAGCTACTAATTCTCTGAGTTTAAGTCTCCGTTTAGTTCCTTTTCCTCTTCCTAACAATGAAAATAGATAAAAGAGGGCCAGACTGATTCATAATTTTAATTTCTTCCCTGTATAGCTAATCGAAACTTCAAATACAGGAATTTCTCCTGTACATTTTTCCTTCTCGCAGGGTTCTCTCTGCTTGCGCCTTAGGTGTATGATCCAGTCATGGGGCCACCTTAGATAAGGACACACAAATACTTAGCTTCCCATGCAGTGTTTGCAGGATGCTTCACCCCTAGCAAGCTGATGCACCGTGCTTCACCGAACACTCCAGGCACCGTGAGTGCTCTCTTTTTCGCATATTTTGCTCTCCTGGAGCTAAACAACTGCCCTCTTCTAAGCATATGCATTGTGGTCTGCATTCAAACCTTCCACAAATCTGTTAACACTATGTCTGGGGGTGTTTTGCCCAACTAGAAAATAGGGTGTAAGATGAGAGCACTGTCTTCCTTTAGTTCCTTCCAAAGCTGGCTGGATGATAGTGTCCACAAATTCCCACAGATAGAATTTTTAGGGTAAATAAAGGTTAAATAAGGGATTTGTCTGGAAAAAGAAGGACACACCTCTCACGGTGACATAGAAGGTAAAAGATGAATGTTCACACCAGACCCTCAGATCTCTTTTGAATACCTTGCATGAGCAGAGATTGCTTGGATTTTGCCAGCGAGACAGAAATAGTGTTCTCTTTCAAAAAATGAGATGCACAGACATCAGCTATATCAAATGCACTGTTCTCTTCCCCCTTCCCCCTCACCTCAGAGGAAGGTGGGTGTTTAGGATCTGATTCTGAAATGATCACTGCATTTCCTGTTGATTCCCACTGGACTTGTAAGTATTTATTATGGAAATCAGGCCTTTGATATAAAGGCAAATCACACGTAGGAAGAAAGAATGAAAATTCATGGGTTTTTTTAAAGAAATACTGGCTGTTACGGCTTCACATGAGACTTACTGCATAAGGCTCAGAGTTTCGTTTGATGTATACATGTTACAGTGTAAAGCATGTTACCAGATTCATACTAAAATCAGTTTAACATCTCTGATTCAAATGTTAGCATAGATATGAACTGATGATGATTTGAAATGCTTTGAAAATCATTTTATTTGCAATGGAATAAAAATATACTAGAGATTTTGCAGACTGCTGCATGAATGTGTTGTGAAATCAACCTGAAAGTCAATTCAAAATGCATTTAAGAATAATTAGAGCAATTATTCTGAGTCTCCCTGCCACTGCTTATGGTTTTATGGTGACAATATGCTGTTGATACGTAAAGGCTGTCTCTGAGTGCCCCCTGAAATGCATATACACAAAAAATAAGATGTTATGTAGCTAAGGCCCTGGTCCTGGAGTAGCTTTGCTCACAGGGATTCCTCTCGAGGTCCAATGGCTTCGTTAGCATTTTGCTCCAGGAGGAGGCCCTAGTAAGAGATTACACTAAGGGACTAAGGCATTGCTAGACATCAGAGAAATTATTATATCTGAAGTGTTAATTATGCCTAGGGTGCAGTTAAAAGGAGAAACTGTCTGAGATTCATATACGCTGGTGATTTGAATACTGTATATGTGATACTAGAATATATTTCAAGGAGGTTGAGCTAGGATACATAACAAAGTCACTATAAGAGCTCCAAGCAAGACATTTAAATACTAGTAAGTTTTATGATGTCTAAAATAACTGAATGACTGTAGATAGTATCTAAAAGTTACGTTTTTTTTTTAAAAAGCATCTTTTACCAGTAGGATGGGTAAGAGTGGGTTGGGTTTCCACTGGTTGGAGAGAACACAAACACAATTATATGAAGACAGACTTAAAAGCTGTAGGACATCTGAAACTATCTGAAGAACAAGAAAAATCTTTAAAGAAACATCAGCAGTAACTATTTCTGTGTGAAAGACACATTTCCTCCCAGACAGCAGAAGTGTACAATGTCTCAGAGGAGCATATGCTGCTGTGAGACAGAATCTATCCTGGAATTAATGGTACCCAGGATAGTATTTAAAAGCAATTCTTGACAGACTAGTGCTTCAGGTTCCAGAGAATCCTAGTCTGACCTGATCTGCTTTGCCTTATACACCACACTCAATAACCTAGTCAAACCTGAATGAATTAAACCCATGCTTTTGCTTTCTGTATTTCAACTATAACGCTTTTAGCTATTATATTACTTTGCACTTCAATAGCTTAATTCACTTAAGTTGTTCAAAGTGTTTGCTGAACTTTATAAAAAAGAAGCACACAAAAAAAAGACAAAACCTGTCATATTTTTAAAGCTAACTATTCTGGTAGGTAGGATCTAACAGCAGCATGACTGAGCGTAGAGAAGGATGGTTTTCATAGTGCTGAGAAATCTTGGTGCCAAACTGTGTAGCTACAGGACAGACCCACATCAGGATGAGGTTCAAACCCACCGAGCTCCATTTAAAGCAGGATAACTTGCCTTTTCTGTAACCCTCTGTGCTTCCGTGCTCTTCGTTTCATCTTGGAAAACGTGGATGAAGTCCCAGCCTCTGCTTGCGGCAGAGCAGGAACAAGAGCGTGTCTGTCCCTCAAGAGCACGTGTGCGGGCAGTGCTGCTGGCACCAGCAGCTCCAAAGGCAGCAGTAGCGGTGGCTGCCCCATCACCCGGCGGTGAGGAAAGGCAAGGGGCAAAAGAGACACACGGTCGTCCCACAGCTGTGCCCTGAGCGCTGCCATCCCCAGCGGCCCCAACAATCGATGCTGAGGGAGGACGGAGCCTGGAGAGAGGTGTTAGCTGTAGGTGTTTTCAGTTGTTTTACAAATCACATCTATGTTTCTCGTCAACAGTACCCCGTTAAAGGTAGCCAAGGTTATTGCAATAAAATAGACAGTTCTGACATGAAAGCGAACAAGGTAAGCGCAATACAGTGCAACGGCCCAGGAATTAGTTTTTCTGGTTTAATTTCCCAGAATTTCTGCAGTCTAGCAGTCTGGAGATAAAAATGCATAAAAAAATGAGACTATTTAATAAAATACATTACAAAGATCATGTGGGGCTTTATCACTAAGCCACTTTGAAAGGAGAGCTGGTAGTGGCTTTAAATTTTCCTGCGAAGGCCCTCGAATGCTCCATACACGTAATACTGGCACGTGCAGCAATGAGAGAAGCGAGTCAGAGATTTTCCCCTAACTTCTGTGCACTACTCTTCACCTTTTAAATACCCATCCACGGTGAAATTAACAGATACATAACCAAGGTCGTCATCTCACTGGATTATTTTTTTTTTAACGTAGGATGAATTTCAGAGGCAAAATTACATAGCGCAAAGACCCGCTCGCTCAGAATTGCTTTCGATAAGCAACGGGAGACGTTTAGTGTGCCAGCTGTAAACGTCAGCTCACGGGTCTCCGTCCCCTTT